TTAAGAGAATTGAATAGAAGGGCAGAAATAAGCTGAGGCAGAGATCAATCGCTTTTTTTAATGAATCTGATCAAAAATATATAATATATATATATACCTTATAATTCAATGCCAAATTTAATATAAACCTTCTATAGACAAAATCAATTATTTATTTTAGCTTTTTGTCCAATCATTAACCTATGAACCTATCATAGTTAACAGATTTTTAGCGTAGAGAACGTTACTCGAATTAACTTAATAATGACGTCTGTCTACGTTTATCTATTGATTTGTACGCAAACTCTTAATAATCTCAATACATCAAAAAGCCGAATCTTTTAAAGAATACTTTCAACTACACTGACCAATTATCCACAAATGTACCTTTAACCGGCCAATTACTTACAATGTATAGCGAAAGTAAAGTTCATTCGATTTTTTTTAATTAGACATTGATTAATAATGATAAAAACTATCAGCATGGAAACAATTAAATAACTCTCGTTCTCCAAGCAAGAAATCATCAGACGGATTAAAAAATTTCTTCAGTAGAAAAAAAAAAAAAAACAAAAATGAAAATACATTGTATGAGCAATGATTGACACGTATTACTACTGGTAAAGGCAAAAGAAATGTTTGCTCATAACAAAAAAATTATATGTGAATTTGAGTAAGGTTGCAACTATGTTCGACATATTTGATCAATGTACAGAAAATCAGGTGAACGTTTAATTAGCGTTTGCACTTTCTTAAAATAATTATTTTATTATTTTCTCTATTACATGCTCAATTACACGATCTGTTTTATAGTAATCACAATTTAATCGCTATACAAAAAGGTCATTGTAATCTCTAAACATTAGAAACAAACAATGCCAGAAAATTGACTAACAAACAAGACGAACTCGAAAGGTTCGAAAAGTGAAAAAAAGCGAAAGATAAAGAGAGAGAGAAAGAGAGAGAGAGAGAGAGAGAGAGATTGATAAAGAGAAGGAAAGATTTGGCAGACAGTTTTCTAATATGCAAAATTATGCAAAAAATAACGAGCCGGAAAAAAAATTCCATTAGCTGACTATATATTAAATTAATCAATTCTCTTAAATGCAATAAAAATCAATTTTTTATTTATAATAATTACACAACTTAATTATTAGATAAAGTGTGTCAAAATGAACATGGAGGACACTTCATTATATTGAGAGGCGCCTGCATGATATCTATTTCGAATTGATGTTTTTGATTGATTAAATCTCTAAATTTCGTCAATAAGCTCCTCGCTAATTGACTAAGGGACAGGGAATCAACTGATTAGCCATTCCAGCATTTAATGTTACAGAGAGAGTACATTATAGTTAGCCGTGCGCCGAAGCCTTTGTTTTATAAAACTTTACGATACCAATTGTACGATATATTCATCTATTAACGAAAATCTTTATCATGATGAGTAATAAGGGGACGTTTGCAAGAAAGAAAACACTTTCATACATGTATGAGCGGCAAAAAGACTACAAATTTGATATGGACAATATGTAAATTAGATCTAAAGGTTATTATATATGATACCATAAAAGATGACTATCTTTTCAATTAATATGATTTGATTTTGCATTCGTGTATCACGATCCGGATAAAATCGACTTTCAATAGACTTAGAATAGAAAACCTTAATGGATAAAGAAGAACTCAACCTCAATAAGTTCGTAGGTTCACATATATATGTACAATGACTATAGACGAATCCATATAAATTTCAAGCGGATTGTATTGAAATGTCATGTTATTCCGAACATTTAGTTTACAATTAACCGTTACTTTCCTTATTATTAGACACTAGAGGAATTTAAATTTCGCGTTTAGCTTCATTAAAACAAACGCAATTTGTAAACTGATATGCGGAATGTCATAAAATCCATCCTTCCTGCCATCCTACTAACTTATTGAGTGATGTGTTATATATAAACAAAAAAAAAAAAAAAAGAAAAAAAGAAGTAACTTTCGCAAGTGTAGCGTGTACTATTAAGTGGTATTTCTTATGATTATTCGTTTTAGTTTTCACTTAAGCCAACGAGGAATTTGCAAGTCAATCTAAAACTTTACACTTTACAACCAAGTTTAATTGCAAATTGATGGCTTAATACTATAAGCTAAGCTTTTAAAATGACTTACAGTACAAATGGAATATTCCTCTATATAAGCAATCAGATATTTAAATAAAATTCTTTTTCTTTTCTCTTTTTCTATTCAAACACAATAATAAATATTTTCTATTACGTCAATTTTCAAAGTTGAGCGAACTATAAAAATACCTAATAGATTTTTTTTTTTTTTTTTTTTTTCATTTGCTATCTTGATTTTTTGCAAGTTTGAGATTTGCAACAATCAATAAACTGTTGGATGAATAAACTGACGGACGAAAGACAGATTGATAGATGGACGGACGTATGGTGGGGCAGATGGACGACGAATAGCTAGAGATGTGATGAAAGAATTGATAGAGAAATAGCTTAAAATCCGAAATGAACTGTGTGTAAAAACCGGCAGTCAGAGACATAATCTGACAGATAGGGCGAACAGATGAAATCGTAGATAAACAGACGGGTAAAAATATCGACGTTTGTCGTGTTGTGTTTTTTTTTTTTTTAAATAAAACTGTCGTGAGTCTATTGCAATTTATGGAGAAAAAAACCCAATCGGTAGAAGGATTCACCTACAGCACAGTACAGTACGAGCGAGTCTTTTTACCGATTTAATTCATTTTCAATATCAATCTGCGTGCAATGATTTCCAAGATTTTTTGCCGAATTTGAAGCAAATATCTCCATTTTTGCAATCATTAGTGCATATACTGCAGCATTTATCAGAGAGGTGGACAGACGGGCGGACAAACATTTCTAGAATGATTCAAATTTTCAATATGTAGACTTTATATGGTCTTTACATGATAAAGAATGTGCATGTGCTGCAACTATAGAATACAAGTGCAAATTTTGATCGCTGCATTTGTTGCGGTATGAGTAACCATCCGAAAAAAACTCAACCGAGCTTTTGACCGATTTGAATCAATTTTAATACCAATCTGCAAGAACTTCTAATTTTCTTGCGAAATTTGAAGGCGATTGCTGCGTTCTTACGGCCAGGAGAATGTTTTTTCGCACACATTTCACAGACGGACGGACACGCAGAATTTGATTTTTTATCAAGAATATATATACTCCTTGCCTGATTTCTGCTTCTGTCTTCTGGGTGTTGCCTGCCTATGTGTTCTGAATATCATCCCACGGTGATGGGTATAAACAATGAAATACTTTACTGATGATGAGTACGTCGCTCACGTAAGTGTATTGACTATATCTATGTATGTAGACCTGCTCTCAAATTATTAAGGATTTTATTCACGAAAGCATAAAATGCTTTACACATAAAAGCATTCCATCATCAGAATGCAATTTAAGTAAGTCCACGTAAGCATAAAAAATGTTAGATCGGAAAGCTATATTAAGTAGTCTAAGATATGTTGATCTCATCAATATGTAAAATCTCTTACACTTATTTACTTTATTCATATGCATAAATGTTAACACTGGAGACTAGTTACCGCTAATTTTGTTCTTAGGCTCTACATAGTTTAGATTACCTCATATTTAAATCAATTAAATTTTCTTAGAATTCAAATAAAGGATTTGTGTACTTTTTTTTTTTTTTTAAATGTCATATACTCGCTTATTGTAAACTTGGACACTGACTAATAATAATGTTTTGTTTATTAAGTGATTTATAATAGACGAGTGTTTTGAAAATTACAATAAATTACTAAATAGCATGCATTACTATATTAAATACGTCACATTTTCATTGACAACAACAATAACGTGTATAAAAGAACAGAAAAGAAAAAAAAAAATTCCCTACAAATACACACATTAACACACTTAACGTTTGAAATCTAAACGACACGGAACTTAATAATCATGATAAACTAAAGTCAACATATGTGAACCGGAAAGAGAGCGTAACCAAGAGCAACAAATCACCATAATAAAATAGTTAAATAAATACATACGCACACACACACACACACACACTAACACACACACACTCGCAATGACATCGAGAAAAAAGCAAAAAAAAAAGAAATAATAAACTAAAACAATTGATTATGAGTAACGAACGTGAAGCAAATGTAAATTCAAAAAAAGAGTTTTCCGCTTAAGTCTTTCGTTATATTAGAGTAAAAAAAAACAAAAAAAAAGAAAAAAAATTTGCCAAAATTTTATATAAAACGGAAAAGGATAAAATGATCATCAGATGATAACATATATATAAATATGTAAATATTAAACACTGTAAGTGTCTGTGTGAGGGCCGGTAATATTATAAATGTTATAAACGAGAAATGTGGTGAAAAAAAATTTTGTTTTTTTTTTTTTTTTTTTTTGTTTTCAAACTAAACTGAGAGAATATTTAGTTTAAAGTGCTCACACATATTACGCTAGTCGTTGCGTTTTCGTTTTCTGTTTTAGTTAAGTTTGCTTTAGCTCAGTTTAGTTGTAACTCAAACAAAATAAACAAAAAAAACAAAAAAAAATAAGTAAATAAAAAACAAAACTTAAGCGCACTGTGGGTTTTAAAACAAAAACGTCTTGCATCTGTAGCAAGCTATTCAAGCGAGCTTTTCATTTCGTTGTGATAACTTAAAAACACATCGCATACGCTCGCGCGTGCACCCCTTTTCTTTTTATAATATAAAAGCTAATATATATATATTTAAAAGGAATTTAAATAAACTCATGTGTTAATTAATAACAAAAAAGGAAAAGAATTTAAAAAAAAAAAAAAAACTTATTTTTCTCTTTTGCATTAAATTAAATAAATAAACAAAATATGGGCAAAAATTTCTTGAAAAAATAGTTCATTGTAATGAAGATTTTGTAATAAAAAAAAAAAAAAAATAAATAAATAAATAAATTTTAATTTACGAGTGTGTCTTCTTACAAAAAAAAAAAGAAGAAGAAGACGAATTTATTTTGAAACACAATTTCGAAGAAAAAAGATTATTTTGTTGTTTATATGTTATGTATTTTGCAAATAATTTGTGTCGCTAATTGGATAAGAAGTTAAAATCGAAAAAAAATAAAAAAAAAATAAAAAATCCTGAAAATTTTGTGAATCAAGTAAAAGTAAGTTATATTTCTTTTTTAGCTTTCGCAATTTAATTAATTATTTAGTTTTAGTCACATTGTGTAAACATTCTTTGCCCACATTCATACATTGATAGTGAAATCGATTTACATTTTATATATGAGCAAATTAAAAATTGAAAAAAAAAAATATAAAAAGAAATCCATTGCATGTTTTATGAAGCTATAAACAATATATTCTTTTAACACTTTTCACGTTTTTATGCAGCTCATGTCGTCAAATTGCATTCTCTTTTCTTGCAAGCTTTCAACTTTTTCAAAGTTTTGAAAATTTTCAAAAATTTACATCATCTGATCAATTAAAACATTTTTTATGAAATCATGAGACAAGAGATAATAACAAATAAAGCAATCATTAGGTCTAACGGAAAGTGAAAACACATTTCGATAACGATCCAAATTTAATGATTTCTATGTGATGTGTTGTGAGAAGTGTTTGTGTGTACGTTTCAATTCTAAGATGTCGCGGTATAGAAAACAGCTGATAAGAGAATGCGTGCGTATTTCGTTAACATTCCCTCAAATGAATTTATCATCATATTTACCACTGCTTGATAATCGAACAAATACGAATTGTTGTTGTTATGAACATAGGTTGCATTATTATCAATTAATTTAATGTATTTCCTTTGTTAAATAGTTCCATACATAGTACAGCTTGCACTGCGTTAATCAAAAACCTGTAAATTATCGCCCATAAGCATCAAAGCATTATTTAAATAACTAAGCTGCAAATATACAAAGGGAATAAAGAAATAGTTCCGTATCTCCGTACCTCCGCTTAATTGTAATGTTAATCCTTTTCATTTTGCATTCGAGAGCACAATCGCAGTTTGTAGCGAATGACTTAATTACTATGCAAAATATTTCTTTCTTACTCTCTCTCTCTCTCTCTCTCTCTCTCTCTCTCTCTCTCTCTCTCTCT